CCCCCTCCTCACACTGCCTTTTCTCGTTCTACACCGTTTCTGAGCAAATTTCATTAAACTGACTGAAAAAGTGCAGCCGCACAAAATAACTTGCAGTGATTCAGGGCCTTTTCTTCTTTTTCTTCTTCCTCCCCTCTCTCCTTCCTTCTACGCCACTGCAAATCTCTTTTCCAAGGCTGTGCGAGGGCTTAGGGGCGCAGCCGCGCCACAGCGAACGAGGGAGCAGAAAGGCCTGCTGGCCCGCACCCTCTCCTCACACCGCGCTGAGGCCATGCTCCTCAAGCTTTCTCTGTGTGTGGGACCCTAAAAACTGCCCGTTGGAAACGTGGGCCGTTGTGTGGATGAAAAGTAGGTAGAAGTTACTTCTGGGGGAGCCTTGGCCGGCCCCCGAGAAGCGGCCCTCGCCCGGGCCAAAGAAAGCCAGAATCTCTCCCCAGTTTTGGCCAGCTGGTAGGAAGGAAGCAAAAAACTTGTCATTGGAATTGGAGCTCGTGGTGCTGACTCCGTTATTTATGAGAAGGTGCTTTCCTATTGACTTCGCGATCGAGGTCTGCACGATCGCTGAACGCTGCCTTCGTTTGCGCGCAGCTCTGTGTGGTTTCAGTTACCAGGCAATCGAAGTATTGCGGAGCGTGCACTGAATATACCGTAAGGTGCAACGTACTGATTCGGTGCCTTTCAAGGAGTGTCCCACGACGCTTTGTAGGAGCAGAATGAAAAATTAAATAAATTCCGTCGGTATCCTGAACAGCTTAGCAAAACAAGTCCGCCGGCTTCTGAAAACCAGTAGAACAAGTTTGAGGAACCTTTGGAAGTAGTGAATTACAAATTTGCAAAGCAATTGGGAGTGAGGGGAAACAGAAATTAGATTAGTAGTGAGAAAAATTTTTTTTAAAGTTTCCTTACTTAGTTGATTTTTTTAACCACATACTTTAGGCCAATAGTATCAGCCTTCTCTAGGCTTTTCCTTTCTTTCCCAGCTGCATCTCCTTTCCATTCAGAAATACTGTGGAAACTCAGACTTCCAAAACTGATGCTAACACAACTTTCAAGAGACTTGGAATTGAAAGCTCTTTTTCCTCTTTCTTTCTTTCTGTCTGTCTATCTATCTTTCTTTCTGTCTGTCTTTCTTTCTTTTAACAGTGAAGAAATAGATAGAACATACTTGGAGTGGTGGAATTGCAGGTCTGGTCAGCTGAGTTAGCTAGAGACAAAACAGAGGTTGACAGAGTGAAAGAAATTATTAAAAAAAACCCAAGAAATAATGGCAGATTCGGCAGCTTAAGAGCCAGAGCCTAGATACAAATATTAGACTAGTAGATGTCTCCAGAAAAACAGAAATTGGACAATGGTGAGACCTGGAGGAAAACGGAGCTTCCTCTTGTCTGAAGACTAGGACGCAAATAAAAACCCAATTTACATGAGAAGTTGCTGTCAGATACCACAACATTTAGTATGAGCAAACAATAGCAGGAAGAATAAGAGCATGGTTTGCTAAAATGAGGGATTATTAAATGTAATCAAGGATTGAGTTATGGGCAGTAATTGTAAAATACTAATCTTTCTAGACTAATACATAAATTCTACAACTGAACAGATTACAATAATTTGGTTTTAGCATAGGACCGAGCACACAAAGTAACTATCAACACACAAAAATAACTTGTAGGTATTGCGTTTGAACAAAACCTTAGTTCAGAAGATCAGTTCTACAACTGGCATAAGGAACATTAAGCACTGGTGGGAATGGCGAGAGGAATAATGGAGGGGGGAAGGGAGACAGAGAGGAGGGAATAAAACAGAAAAAAGAATGCAGCAGGTCTAGAATATAATTATACCCTTATCACTGGGAAGATTTTTAAAGAAGACAGAATACTGCAAGATACAAAGTCTTACGCACACTGCTTTCCAAAAGTATCAATGACCTAAAGGTGCAGGTTGGTAGGCTTTGCATTGAGCCTCTGAATTACTATTAGGAAGCAAAGTCACTTTGAGAGCTATATCATGTTAGAAAATTATGAGACTCCTAAACAAAAAAAGTTCAAAGCAGTTATAAAAATGAGATTGCCATGAAGTACAGCAGCTTAGGCTAGGATCTGTCATCTGTACAAAAAAAAGTAAAACAGTAAAGTCAACCTTCAGAAGCAAGGAAGGTATTTTGTTATCAACTGTATTTGCATAGCACCTCCTATTCATAACATGACAGCTTAAATAACATCATTCTAGTGAATTATTGTAGCTAAGAGTCAGATATTACTGATAGAATTGTGCAATGTTGTAGCTAATGAGACAGTATCAGGGTAAGAGTGAAGGCTTATTTTGTGGTTTTGTTATAACTTAGTTTGACATAGATAGCAAACCAACCATGATATAATTGGGTGCAACTTTGTAGACTACACGACTCACAGATAAGACCTAAAAGAGACACAAAGAAGATGAGACATATCAAAATTGCCTATCTGAAAAAAAAAGTCTTCATGTAGCTTCAGTGATCTGAGGCTATAATAGCCTTACTGCTTAAACTGAGCAACATTTGAGGAGGTAGGCTTAAAATACCGTGGAAGGTTTCTGTAGCACAGTTTTAGGTATAGTTTTGTACTTAGTATAATTAAGTACTAGCTAACACTAAGAAAACAAGAAGCAGGTTTTGGTAAAAAGATTGCACATAAAGCTCTAACGTTCTGAAATCTGCCCACATTGAAGTTGTTAAATTATTGAAAACTGCTTAATAGTCTTTTCTAACATTCTGAAAAATATGCGAGTCGTTTAGAATGCATAACAGCTTTTTGTTTACCAGCTCATGAGATTTTTCAGTGTGACCTTTTTTAGATAGAAAAGTTTGTTTTAAGTAAACGTAGTAAATGATGAACAAAAGAACTGGTTATGATGAGGAAACCCATTGACAAAGGTAGCAAGAATGATACTTAACGTTATCAGAATCAGAGTGATCATATTGATATATAAGCTTTGTTTGTTTGTTTTGTACTATTACACACGTTATTTGGAATACTTTGGCAGTTTGTCTTTTTTCTTTCTATTTCAAGGTAAATACCCTGCATGACTCACACTGTAAAATATGTTACCCATTACCGATCGTGCCGTTCGTGTGCACGCAAATTCCATTCAGTTCCCTGCCAATTCTACACGCAAAAGGAGTGTAGCTGCAAATCCTTAGAAGTTCATAATCTTTGATAAAGCTTTTAGTAGACAGTGATTAATATCTAAAAATAAATGCTTGGTAGCCATGGGCATGAGGCACGATCATCAAATTAAACATGAAATAGTTATTTTAACTACTTTTCTAACTTTAAGCTACTGA